TGCAAGTTGATCTCGAAAGGCCCAGTATCTCTGCAGCTGCCGTGGTAGCTCACGTCTCTTCTCTGGCCACCCTTTCACAATCACCGTCTGTAGTGCTGCAAACTCTGCATTCTTGGCTGTTTCCTCCTTCAACTGACTCAAACGGTCTGGAGCAAACTGTACAAAGTTGATTTGCAGGTCAAGGTGGATGTGTTCTGGAGGACCAAGAGGACGTCTGGATAGGCAGTCAGCTACTGGTACATCCTTACCAGGCTTGTAGACAATTGTCAGCTTGTATGGCTGTAGACGAAGGAGCATACGCTGGAGTCTAGGTGGAGCCGCTGCCAGGTGCTTATGCTGGATCATCTCCAGGGGCTTGTGGTCCGTCTCAACTATGAAACTTTTCCCGTACAGGAAGATGTGGAATCGTTCACAGCCGAAGACCACTGCAAGCAGCTCTCGCTCTATGTTGGCGTACCTCGTCTCTGCATCACTGAGGGCCTTTGATGCAAACGCGATACCCTTTTCATCCTGCAGTAGAGTCGCTCCCAAGCCCTGCAGAGAAGCATCTACCTGCAGTACCGTAGGCTTGTTAACATCGAAATACGCCCGAGTTGCATCGTGACATACCTTGTCACGTAAATCATTGAAGGCAGACTGGTGCGTTGGAGTCCATTGGAATTCAGCGTCCTGCTTCAAAAGACCACGTAGGCTTGCAGTCTGGGCTGAAAGATTTGGTATGAATGGGCTAAGGTAGGTTATCATACCAAGGAACTCACGAAGCTGGCTCTTGTTCTCAGGTGGAGACATTGACTTGATTGCCTCGACCTTGTGAGGATCCGGATGGACGCCATCTGCATCGTAGATCATACCGAAGAAGGAAATCTGGTTGACCTTGATGCTGCACTTGCCACTGTTGAACTGCAGACCGTACTTCACAGCTTTGGACATGAGGTGGTGCAGATTCTGATCGTGCTCTGCTTCACTCTTGCCGAACACAACAATATCGTCAGCGATCCCTATTGTGCCGGGGCAACCTTCGAGGATTTCGTCCATTCGCTGCTGGAATACATCCTGAGACATTGCTAGACCAAAAGGCATCCTGAGATATCTGTACCGTCCAAAGGGACTGTTGAAGGTAGTCAGAAGTGAACTGTCATGGTCGAGCTTGATAGACCAATAACCGTTCTTGGCATCGAGTTTGCTGAAGTGTCGAGCACCTGATAGCTTGTGTATCACCTCATCTGTCGTGATAGTGCGATAATGGCAACGTCGAATAGCTCGGTTGAGATCCTTGGGATCCAAGCAGACACGGAGTTTGCCATTCGACTTCCTTGAAACAGCGATGCTGCTGACCCATGCTGAAGGCTCAATGACTTTAGTGATCACGCCATTACCTTCCATGTCATCAAACTCACGCTTCAGTTCATCTCGTAGGTGGATTGGGCACCGTCTAGGAGCATGGACAACAGGCTGAACGTCTGGATCAAGAACAATATGATATTCTCCTGGGAAGTTGCCAATTTTGTCAAACTGGTCTGGATACTGCCTTACTAGGTCATCAGTAGAGCTTATCTGTGCTGAATGCTTGATCTCGTTGATGCGTGTGTGTAGAGTAAGCAGCTTCAGTTTCAAGCCTGTGTCACATCCGATAATCGCTGGACCCCTGGACTCAACGATGTAGAATGTAGCATAAAGCCAAGTTGAGTTGTTGAAACGACAGGGGAGCCTCACGGAACCGAAGTGCATCACTGGTGTTTCGTTGTAAGCGAACAACCGTGCACTTGAATTATGCACTGATTGAGGGTGAGGAACTCCATCCTTAGTGAGATGGCCAGGATACATCCCACGAAACATCCGAAGAGGAAGTGTGTTGCCCTCCGCACCGGAGTCAACCTTCGAACGCAGTTTCATTATGGTTCTCTCATCCCGTCTGACTTCCACGTACGCTATTGTTAGGTCGTCCCTGTCATCCACCTCTACAGCACTGATACCTGACACAATAATTCGATTGAATGACAGGACATCCACTGCGTCATTCAGTAGTGGGACCGCTGCTGCTGCCTCAATATTGCTGGTGCTGTGGATGGATTGCACCTGCTTGCCTCCACGATGTGGCGTAGCGTATTTAGCTTTCTGCTTCCACTTCTGGGTACTTGAAGCTGGAGATCTCCCAGACCGCTGTGTACTTGGAGCTGGAGACCGACAAACACTCCTCCAGTGATTCAACTTTCCACAGCTGTTACACTTGGTGCCATAAGCCGGACATGCTTCCCGTGGACTGCGAGCATGATTACCACCACAATTAGGACACTTGTTACTAGTGTTAGTCTTCCGACGAACTACATCAATCGATGCAGGCTGAATATGTGTCTGTACTTGCGCTAGTTGAGCCATGTGCATCTGCGATGCTTCAAATGTTCTACTCAGCTCAAGCATCTGTTTAAGAGTGAGGGACTTGTTCTTCCCTAGAAGATCTTTCTGGAGCTCAGGATATCTAGTGCCTGTGATGAACTGCTCAATGATGCGTTCTTGGAGCTCAGTGTCATCACGAAATTCACAGTCATATGCCTGCAGCTTCAGACGCGAGATATAATCATCTGCACTTTCCCTCTCCTTCTGCACATATTTCTGAAGGTATAGCCTAGCTACACGGAAATTTGCCCTTGGCCTCAGTTGTGTCTCGAACTTCTCCCAAACGACAGTTGGATTCTTCTTATCCTCACCTTCCAGACCCCACGAGTTGTAAAGCTTGATACCCGTGGCACCAGTGAACAAAAGAACATGATCCACTTGCTTACCAATCGCAACATTCTTGACTGAGAAGTATAAGTCACACTGCTGATGAAAAATCTTAATAGCATTGGCTCTGTCGGGGTCTTCCCAATTCATGCGGGGTGTAAATGATTCATTCATAGTTCATACCAGCTACTCAAACTCCAATAGTAATGCAAATGTCAATGCACATTTTACTTACAGTAAAACCATCACATGGGACTGTAGAAAGGAGCACCTGTTGATGCCATGACAGTGTGTCAGTAAGATGGCCTCCAAAATCTCTCCAAAATGATGCAAAGTTCAAAAATATTGTCCAGTAGGTTCTATATCGCTGCCACCATATAATGTGGGGTTGTTTAGCTGTATGGTTAGTACTCCAATGAAGACACATAGAGAAACATCAGAGTGAAGTTGCAATCCAGCATGACTGGTTATATTGTGTATAGAAGAGCCCATACACCACAGTGTACATTAACTGTGTGTATGTGTGTATAGCATGTAGCATTGAGTCAATGTATAAGATCACATATTACAGTAGACACTGTGAGGAATTGGACAATGGATGGATTGGGGGGGGGGGGTGGGGGTAGGCATGCAGAACTGGCCTACTATGTTTGTATGTACCTACTGGATAAGGACCCTCCATCACTAGAGGGAAAAATAATGAGAGACTACAAAGAGGGGAAGGCATATAGTTATTTTGCCTTGTGAAAAAATTAGATTTAGCCCCTAAAAAAGTGTTCCTTCGGGTATCAAATGACGACAGGTGAAACCTCACAGTTGTAGAATTATTATCTGTAATGTGATTTCCAAACCATGTGACAGCAAATGGTGTATGGTGTTGTAAAGGTATTGTAAAATGCATTGTTTAACAATGTATAACAATGTTTAAACCGAGATGGACGTATGGCCCTACGTGCTACCAGTGTCTGTGATATGGTGTATTAATACTGAAGCCCTAACAAAATTGTGCTTCAAAATGATCAAGAAGTGCCTCTAAAAAGTAAAAATCTCTGTTTGACCCCTTTTACCATACTCGTTTTTCCCAATAAACTGTAGTGTTATGAAAACCGTTTGGCAAACACAAAATTTGGTTTCGATTTCCAATCGTAAATATCTTGATAATCAGACAGGCGATCGGATTGTAAAAGTCATTGAGTTCCTGACTGACCTAAATTTATCATTGCAGCATGAGCTAAATCCAGGATTTTGTTTCAGAATCTGAGAGTAAGTTACCCGATCCCTTTAAATGTGTTTGCATTAAAGGTGGTACCCCCCCCCCCCCCCCCCCCTTCTCAGCAAAAGTCCAGTGTGTAAAGTCAATGCGGGCAGATCTTTTTCTTTGTTACGAGCCAGATATTTTGGGAACACGCATGCGGTACCTCCGTTCCCGTTCCTGGAGGGAGGGGCGGGGGTGGTACTACTTCTTCATAAGATGTCAACTTATATGCATTGCATTAAACCTGTTGATATTGATCTAACTTGTATTCATCTCATGGTTATATTTATTTTATCAATAAAATAAAACAACACAGAGAAGGTTGTAGATGAGTACTAAGCAATCATTACTGTATGTAGGACGCCGAGTTGAAGTTATTCATGATTTATTCAAGAGAGGAAGGTCGGACAGACCTGATGTTTTAAATATTTAACGAGAGAAAAATCATAGAAACAGAGAGAGGCATCGAGAGAGATGTCGACGCTTAATGAAAGAGAAAGAGTGATAATAAGGAGAGAGGAGAGAGAAAGAGACAGAGAGGGGAGGGAGAGCAAGAATTAGGTGTGAAGAGGAAGATCTAAGAGAACAAGAGATTAAATTTTACAAATGTACACGTTTCCATGTACCTTTACTTAATTTATATTATAATGTAAACGATATTGTGATGGTCTTTGCTTAATTTTAGTTTGCATTCTTTCCTTTAGCTTTATCTTCTAATTTACTATTCTAATTTAGTAAATGTTAGTATAAATATAATTTTGATTTCTATCTCTTCCCCTATGTCATAGCCTCCATTCTTGCTCTCCCTTCCTCATGTTAGTCCATCTCTCTTTCTCTCTCTCTGTAATGATAACCCCTCTATCAATCTTTTCTCCATCAACTCATGATATGTTCCTCCTCTTCTCCTTCTCGTTCATCATCACAATCATCATCATCATCTCAAAACTGTATTAATCAATCTATAAGACTCTTTAGATTGATCAATACAGTTCTTATAACATATGACCTTTATGTACAAACAATAAACCAAATGGTCACAATCATTTAATAAAAAGTGGTAAGAACAACTATTCCAACTCTATGGGCAACAACGTAATCTCCATTTTCTCCTCCTCGTTCAAACATTAGCTTCTTTTTCATTCTTTACTCGTGTTACTTCTCTATCTCTCTGACTATACTCACAAGAAAGTAGAATCAACGGTTTGACATGAAACAGTCTAGAAAATGAACTAAATTTATTCAAGTATCAAATGATTTTGAATTACAGACAGCTTTCTCCCACGAGATGAAAAAAATATCTCCCTAACCAGAAACTGGCAAAATAACTAAATGCCTTTCCCTCTTTGTAGTCTCTCATTCTTCCCTCTAGTGATGGAGGGTCCTTATCTACTAGGTACACACAAATGTCTCTATACATAGTAGACGACCAGCTCTGCAGTCTGCATGCCTTTCTCCCCCCCCCCCCCCTCCATCCATCGTCCAGTTTATCTCTACCTCGGATGGCTGAACAGTACCCCCAGAGTCAAGGCAGAGAACACCCATAAAATAATGACTACCGGTACTCGATTTCCAAGCTTGAGTCCCCTCCTTGTAGAAAGTCACGTAACACTTCTGTTGTCCATTGTGAAATGAGCTCTCTCGTAGCATCTACGTTATCTTCTGATTCATGGGTCATAGTGTTCGATGATGCTGCAACTGATAAATAAAAGGGAAAAGAAAATCAAATTTAAGTTTGTGACCAAAGAACCCTCATCACTTCTTCAACACTAGATCATGTAGCAGACATGTATGCAGGGGGGAGGGAGTTTCGGGGGTTGAACCCCCCCCCCCCCCCCCTCTCCTCCAATTTTGTTTAGACTATGTGTGTGTGTGTTTTTGAGGAAACCCCCCCCCCTCACTTTTTTAATAACAAAAATAAATTAAACATTTTTTGTGCTAAAGGGTGACCCAAAAAAAGGTGACCTTACCCCCCACCAACTGAACAAAATATCGGTCTCCCAAATTTCATATTTTCGGGGAAAAAAAGGTGCTCTTACCACCCCCGGCTTATTCACCGGCTGGCCGAGTCGTTGTGAAATTGACTGCGTGATTTTCAAATTTTACCCCCCCCCCCCTCGAAAAAATCCTCCGTATGCCCCCGTCATGTAGATCCTCAAGTAGAGCTCATTGATATCAGACTATTATATTCAGATCCAGATCGAGAAAATCTATCGTTTTCATGGCCTCTTTTACTTTCTTACATTTATAATTTCTAATTGCAATCACTTTCTAGGCCTAACTGTCGGCCATTCTAGTAGACCCTATTCCATTATAAATTATAGGATCTAGAAAGTCTATTCATATTTCATGAGACATAAATCTCATATTACTGTACATTTCTACCTAAAACACGAGACGAGTGTACTTAAGCAGCTTAAAAGACAATCAGTCTACTTAAAATGCACACACATTTGAACATACGGGACTAGGCCCACATTTACTAAAGTTGGATCTCGGCCCACTCTCATTACGTCGTATTATCAGCTTTATTAGTCATAAAAATGAATAACCACAAACTTTGGTTTTCTTACCGTACAAATGATACTGGATTGGAAGAATAGCGGACTATGTACAAGATTATGATGTTGATTCGATAAGAATCCCGTTGTTTGCAACAGGACAGCTGATCACGGCGAAGGTGAAAATGGACTAGAATTATGTCCCGGCATGCTTTGCGATGAAACAACCGTGAAGTGACGAAAAAAGGTCAAATGAATTAATATATTTTTTGATACTATCGATAAAATACATTATTCATGAGGCTCATATCCAATCAAAAAGCCGCCTCGGGTGCTTATTTTGTCTTCAAATGATCCAAAAGAGGCGGAGCCTAATCCCATTCGTGTAATGGTTTCCGCGCGTGCTGCTTTCCGTCTAGTAATTATATTTAAACGTCTTTGGGATTCCCAATGAGGTAATTGTAAGACCGCGCGCGCCCGCACGATAGGGCGTTGGCCGTGGCCATCATAGACAAATAGTGGCATTTCGGTGCGTAACGGTCCCAATGTCACAGTCATATTTTCAGCTAATAAGTTCTCACTATTGACGTAGAATCTTGATTTTCATCATCCAAGCTGCCACGGCTGTAGTTTAGACAGAAATGACACTTGCGTGAAACAGATAGGAAACCACCATTCGCTCGATCGGATCCGATCCGCACAGTACAATTTCCTTCTTGAATTCTTCCCACCGGCCACCATGCCACTCCACAGACGCTAGCCTATAGTAGCGCTTAACAAGCTTGTGCATGCGGATATCGGATGAACGAGTGGTTTCCAAAACCACGACATAGGGTCTAGAGGTCTAGTCATAGAAAATAACCATCTGGTAAGTATGGGGTTGTTTTTCTTATAACTAACATTTGTCAACCTTCTATAAGGCCATGTAAAATTGATTTCATGTTGATCGTCCCCGCCCGCTTCCTTTTTTCCGCCCGCCTCCTTATATTTGATATTTGATATATTTTCTTTTTATTCAGAAAACAACACAGAATACTTACCATATGCATCTTTTCCACCTTTTCTTCAAATACGCTGTTCAAATATTCTTGTACAAACATACCATATGGCTCCGGTTAGTCTCATTTCACAACGCCCCCTATCGTCAGAGCATGATCTGAGTCGGCAGCCTAACATGTTAGCCTATGGACGTTTTTTTTAAAAATCGTTAAAAATTCATTTTTTGTTTAAACGAAAAGCACATCCACCCCGACGTACGTTATCACTAGCTCTTTCATTGGAGCCCTCATGTCTCATTGACTTTTGAAAGTTCACCCACCGTAATTTTTCAAAATATGTTGCAAGCTCGTCATTGCCTATAATACACGTGTGAAACAAGTCTAACTTTGGACTCAGTTTACCAAGCGATTTGAAGGTTATAGGTCGAGCACACGAAACATAAAAAGCATGAATTATCATAGATCACTTCTGCCTATTTCATTATGTCCATTTCATCCAACCCCCCACCGTAATATTTCCATTTAGTAAAAGCAAACATTTTGCCGAGTTTAGCAAAAACATGAATATTCATGAACGGTCAGACAATACAGCCTTTATAGTACGTAACGTATAGTGAATTAATGGAATGGGCGATGATCCGTTCAGGAGGCAGAAGTCAGTGGTTTGTGCTGGCAATGTTCACGCGAGCGAAAATGAGACAATCGGAGCAATATGAGTAAGACTCTAGAAAAAATTGTATTGAAATGTAGAGTGGTTGATATGCTATATGATCGGCGATATGCTGAAGTGAAGCTGCGCTAAAAAATGATGCATGCGCTGCGCATGCATATATCAGCATCAGCATCAGTATACGGAAGTGTGAGGTGATCCTGTTGAAACTTCCGGTCGTTTCATTGAGTGGTGCTTCGTTCGAAAAAGAACCTTAACTATTTTTGCTCGCATGGCGGGTGGACGCACAAATAAATTTTATGGAAGCATTTGGTGCTGAGAGGACCAGTGCTTGTCCAATCTAATCTTGAAAGAAGTGATTGAGGATGAGGAGATGACAGATGTAGGAAGACTATTCCAGGATTCTACTACTCTCTGACTGAAGCTGTTTCTTCTTAGGACTGTGTTGCTCCTTTGCTTATACAGCTTCTGGTGGTGTCCCCTTGTAGCTTCATGAGGAGCAGATGTGAAGAAGGCTGCAGGATCGGAGTTTACGAGTCCGTTCATCAGCTTGTAGACCTCAATCATGTCGCCTCTTATCCTTCTGTATTGCAGTGAATACATTTTGAGGTTCTTAAGTCTGTCTTGATAGGATAGGTGTCTGATCTCGGGAATTAACTTTGTTGCTCTTCTTTGCACCTTCTCAACTTTCACTGCTTCAGCCTTAGACCTTGGATGCCAGATGACATTCCCATATTCAAGAAGAGGGCGAACAATGGTCGTGAACAGGATTGGTAATGTGTCTCTTGATATTCTTGTGAAAGTTCTCTTTATAAGTCCTAACGTCTGATTGGCTCTTTTAACTGCAGTGTCAATATGTGTATGAAAAGTCAGCTCATCATCTACCATGACACCCAAATCCTTTTCTGCAACAGTTTCTTGAATTATTTGGTTGTTTATGCGGTACAATGACTTGGTGTTACCCTTTCCAATGTGCATAACTTTGGTTTTTGCTGAGTTGAAGGTGAGTTGCCACGATTTGGCCCAGGAAGCTGCTTTGTTCAAATCCTCCTGTATTGAGTCTCGTTGGGTTGATGTACTAACTTCTCCATATATCTTGGTATCATCAGCATAGATTTGAATGCCGTTACTAATCTTGCAGGGCAAGTCATTTACATAGAGGACAAAGAGTTGGGGCCCGAGGACGCTACCTTGAGGCACGCCGCTGATCACTGTAGTCCACTCTGAGAAGTCCCCTCCAATTGCAACCCTCTGAACTCTTCCTATCAAAAAGGCTTCGATCCACTTGAGAACCTGGTACTCGATGCCGTAGGCTTGGACTTTCTTCAGGAGCCGTTGGTGAGGCACAGTATCAAAGGCCTTACTCACGTCTAGGTAACACACATCTATGGGTTTCCCTAGGTCTAGTAGTCTAGTCCAGTCTTCCATTTGTTTCATAAGTTGTGTGCAGCATGACCGGCCGGGAGTGAAGCCATGTTGGGCATCATGTAGTATGTCATTGTCGATCAGGTGGTCCATTACTTCATTCCTTATAATGGACTCCATAACCTTGCCAATAGTAGAGGTTAAACTTATTGGTCTATAGTTACTAGCAAGTTGTCTGTTGCCTTTCTTGTGGATAGGAATCACGTTTCCCGCCTTCCAGTCCATTGGCAGGAATCCTTCACTTAGGGACCTTTGGAAAATAATTGCCAGTGGGCAACTTATCTCTTTTGATAATTCCTTCAGCACTCTAGGGTGGAATCCATCAGGACCAGCAGATTTGTTTACATCAAGTTTCTTTAGCTGCTTTTCCACTATTTCTTGCGTGATTTCCACCGTTGATAAGCATGGTCCATTGTATTGCCACTCTGGTGCAGGCATATTAATCACGTCTTCTTTGGTAAAGACTCTTGAAAAAGTGGCATTGAAGGTCTCAGCAATGTCATTGCTTGCAGTTACTTGCTCACCATTCTCTAACACAAGTTCGTCTATCCCTCTCCTTGCCTTGACTCTGGAGTTGACATAACGCCAGAAGTCTTTGGGATTCTGCTTGATGCTGTGAGTGATGTCCTTTTCAAAGTTTATACTGAGAGTTCTTGTCAAGCTCCGTAGAGAGTTGCTGACATCTCTATAGTATCTGTAGTCATTTTGATCGAGTGTCACTTTATATCGTTTCCAAGCCCTGTGTTTCTTCTTGCTCAAGGCAATCGATTCTCTGCTTGAGTCGAGGAGCTAGCTAGAGATGAGTCGATCGAGTCGACTGATCATCGCATCGCAGATACCTCACGATAGCGCGGCCACGCTCTAGCGCTGGATTTCAGACAGCATGCATGCGCATGCAACGACTTGCATACTACAGCAACGTTGGTTGATGTACATATTCAATTATATACTATTTGTACACGCGGCAGCCATCTTGGGAAAAATATCAAATATCAAATAACATGGTACACCCTCCTCCTCTTTTTCAAAAAATCCGGACGATCAACATGTAATCAATTTTACATGGCCTTTTAAAGGCAATTTGCTCTTTATTGTTGACCCATTCTCGTACAGTGTCACTCGTAATTTGCTGTTTGTGTATTTTATTTTACGTTTACCCGAGAGTCTGCCAGAATGCTGTTCTCACACAATGACACATATCTGCATTACTATCCTGGCTGTGTATTAAAAGCTGTTTTTATTGATTCTCAACATTTCAAACACCACTGTACAAAACTCAACTGAGTGATTTCATTCAAAATGGGTACTTTAGTGACAATTGATGACACCTAAATAGGATTTTAAAAATACAATTTTTCCAGCTTACCGATGTTAAAAAGAAGGCGCTTGTTCAGAAACGTATCCAAAATTTGACCCGTAACTATGGCGTGGAGATACCCTACTTACATATACCCAAAATGAAGTAAATATCCATTAAATGTCCATATGAAGTAAATATTCAGTAAATGTCCAAATAAAGATCATGAGTTAAAAGTCGTTATGTTTATCACCTATTTCATTTCAATTTTCTTGTTATTTTTGGAATATTTTTCGGAAAAACGATGATATTAGTATACACTTTTTCACAGGTTTCACAGCAAACCGCTGCACAATACAAGTGCATACCGATGGTGGGTTGCGGGCGGGCGCGCGCCTGTGAAGTTATCTACCGTAGCCTAATGTCTCAGATCCTCATGACGGTAGATAACTTCACACAGGCGCGCGCAGCCCGGAACCCACCATCGATATGTATTGTGCAGTCGGTGGTTTGCCATGAAACCTGTGAAAAAGTGTATAGAGGGTACTAATATTGTTTTTCCGAAAAATACTCAAAAGATAACAACAAATTTGACACGAAACAGGTAATAAACATAAAAACTTTTAACTCATGATCTTTATTTGGACATTTAATGAATATTTACTAGGCCTGAGTCATGTCGGGATTTTCATAAACCGGGTCCCGACGGCCT